ACGAGGAGGCTTCTAACAGTCCAAAAATAAAAGCAAACTTCACTTCAGGTATATTCTACTACACCTAACTTTCCGCAGATGAATTTGCGTAAGCCTTGAAAGTAACAGTCGATTTCGAGGGGTTTACTTAGTTCTCTCATAATATTCGTAGCCTACTGTTAAATCTTATTACGTACAGTACTATTTAGGTGCGTGATTAATTCTTGGTTTCAGTTTTAACATATTTAAATATTTAGTACCAACAAACCAATTTAACTATTAAGTTTATTTTTATAAATGTACCATTAGTTTTATCTCGCAAAATAAACATTTTTATGGTTGTTAAGTCAGTAGTTATAAATGGGATTGTAAACACAACTAAATCAACCTACGGTTACGGCAGTGTACTCGTATTAGCACTATGGTAGTGATCCGCTTCTAATGGTAATGGCCAAACAATTCACTCAGCTTTCATATTGAATATACGAAATCTGAATGAGCTATAGAGGGGTGGGATATAAATCTCCAGAATTTGTAAAAAAATATCCGTGTCGTAATTTGCAATTAAAAAGCATCCATGTGTTGCCACTAGCTACTGTCAAAGAATGCACGACAAACGCTTACGTCAAGCGAAACCTGACAACCAAATCCAAGATGAAGTGTTTAGGGGTCTTATTGTATAATTTTTAGGGTGATATTGCTCAGTTACTACCGTTGCAATCAAGCTTTATCAAGCTTTATGCAAGCCATCAGATATATCAAATCAGTTTTGTTCAATGGAATCATATAGAAAACTCATTGACGTTTCATATACGAGCACATTAAAAAAGTTTTTCAACTAAAAACTGTCATGCGTCAATCCGCCAAAGTGAGAGTCATTCTCGTAATGCTCTTACTAATATTGCTCATGGAACGACGAGACTATACTGAAGATTATTTTCTTGACAATCCATAAAAAAAAATACCAACAAAATCACTAAATTGCAACGCTGTTCGTATCATGACAAGAAGACAAGAAATCGTGCTGAATTAGCTACTTATGACTATGACAAATTGGCTAAACTCTTGTGTCATTCATTTATACCACAAACAAACCTTTAATGCCGCAATAGTTAGTTTCGATGAATGCTAATATCTTAAACATTTTTTTATAATTGCCAAAATATGTACAGTTACGTTCACAGCTTATCGACCAATGCAGGATTAGTCTATGGTGTTGTTGGGACTGTCCACGATATTTTATACGAACTTGAAGAAGTCTTATCACATTCGGAAATGCAGCCTTTATGTTTGTTAGTTGCGTTTAGTATTTGTAGGGGACCCACATTTTACCAAAATAAGGTTATTACCTCGTCTGCAGTTCCAAAATCGTAGTTTGTAGGCCTACTTATAGTTACATGTTTCGGCAGAACGCCATTGTCAAACTATCTTAGTACATGAACATCAAAATCCACTTATTGTAGCTTCGTCAGGTAGACATTTTAGTTCACATACTCGACGACACATAAACGAAGACACATACGGACGGATAAAATACAATTAAGTAGGCCTACTGATTTGTACGACATTGCCGCGATCACGAGCGATAACAGATGAGTTAGTGTTGTAACTACTTGGTATGGTAGCTGTATTTTTGTAAAATTTAAGCCCAGTTAGTTCAGTAGTTTTTACGGTAAATAGTTATACACATTCAGACAGTCACCATTATATTTTTATATAACACTATAGATTGATACTGTTAGCAAACTGCCTAACACTTTTTGGCATTATGACAAAGGGTTATTCTGTGATTACAATTATCAGAGTACACCAGGGCCGCAGAAGTAATACGGTGGTGTTAAAGCCAACTGTTCCAATGTAACCACAGAACACGAAGGCTCGAGTATAACAATTAGCAAGAATTAATTCCACTGGTGGCCTCCAGTTGAATACGTTAGGACGAAACAATTTGTAAGGTGTAAATTGCACTTGATACTTTTTAGTTTTAATACTCGCCAACAATCATTGATTAAAATATGATGACTAGGGGGATGAATATTATTTTATTCAATAATTTGAACATACATATAATAATGACACATACATTTTTGTAATACTATATACATATATTCTAGTACTAATAAGATGAGATGTGTTTATTAACAGCGTTTATACAGGGTGATTGATATAAGTGTGCCAGCCGTTTTATTCAAAAACTATAAGAGATATCAAAAAAAGCTAATTGGTAAGTGCCTTGGATTTTTTAATAAAAAAAATGTAGTCAAGTCAAAAAAATTATTTTAGCCGCCATTTTTCCAATATGGCCGCCAACTTTGATTTTTCTTATGGAACACCCTGTATTTTATGATGTATTCTGGTGGAAAATGTAATTTTAAGACGATTTTATTCGTGTGATTTTTTTCATAAACCTAACCGTTTCAAAGATAATAATGGTTTAAGTTGTGAAATTTTGAATGGATTTCTAATATAACAGCTGGCATGCTTGCTTAGGCCTTTATCGAAATTCTTTCTCATGCAGAAATTTCAAAACTTTAACCATTATTATCTATGAAACTGTTAGGTCATTGAAAAAAATCGCAAGAATAAAATCGTCTTGAAAACACATTTTCTACCAGAATACATCATAAAATACAGGGTGTTCCATAATAAAAATCAAAGTTGGCGGCCATATTGGAAAAATGGCGGCTAAAATATTTTTTTGACTTGACTACAATTTTTTTAATAAAAAATCCAAGGCACTTACCATTTAACTTTTTTTGATATCTCTTATGGTTTTCGAATAAAACGGCTGGCACACTTATATCAATCACCCTGTATATGTGAGCACGAGAATACAATATTTTCATATGATTACTTTATTCATTGACAAATGGAATAAAATTGCCATTATAGTTTACCTTTACTTGTGAATCCGTATATAAAATTGTGTCATTGCTACACCAGGTCTTTTCCCACTCTTTGTTCTAGTCAGCTGTAACAAAGTAGAATTGATTTAGAACCTGTGACATTTAGCTGCTAAAATTGGGAAGAATCGTCGTTGATTGAAATAAACACCTAAATATAAAAAATAAAATAGCTTACTTTTCCTACCACTTTAAAGGTAGATAGGAATTTGTAAGTTTTATATTTTGTTCTACATTTGTATTATTCCTAAACAAAGTTATCTTGAAAGCACTCTTGTTGTTCTTTTTCCTTTAATTGCTTTGAAAGGAAACCAATCTCAGGTTGATCACTGACAAAAAGCCTATGTAAGGAACAAGACCGCTTATCAAGACAATGTACATTTCCGATGCTCAAACATAATCATGAATTAAGTTTTTTGCCTCTGGGGACCTCAAAACGTAAGTAGATACGCCCTGGGCCCAGGTCTTACTTTGAGACCTACGGTAATAGCTTATTCCCTATATGGTAAATTCGCTGAATAGGAAATTTATTGGTATTATTGAAACTTTAATTTCAGGAAATATGGCATGTACAATGCATTACGATCATACTCAATACTCATGGCTTTATGAAGAAAAATTGATTCACGGGACTTACATTTTTAAATTTCCCATTAAATGTAATACTGACCATTCAGATTCAATCATATATTTTACACAACAGTTGTAATCCTTTAAATCCCTTAACTATGATTTCAAATAAAGTAGCCATTTGCACAATAAACAAAGCCAAGTCAGTATTGGGAAAGAATTAAGCCCGAGTGGATATTTCAATATTCTGCAACGGGGATTAAATTGAACGAAACCACTTTCCGACACAACTCATTTCTTGCACCTCTCTTAACTCTGACTCTAGCTTTACTTTATAGAAACCCATTACTTGATCTTGATTAAGTCATGTAGTTCCAACGAATATGGCATAACTATTACTTCGATATGTATTGATCTTTTTCCCTGTCAGTAACCAACATATATTTTTACTTAAGTGAATAACTTTCAATATGGATATGCCTTATGCTTTTTATAACTTATATTTTCATTAGTGTAGCATCATCCAATAGTTCATATTAAGATAGTTGACGACTTTCATTACATAATAACTTTTTTCTGACACCAAATACATACTAAAATGTTTTTAAAAGGATCAAACTTAAACTACGTTATTATTTAAACCTTTTGCAAAACTTTATATCAGAAAAACCCTCTGCTCATGAATGAAGTTCTAATATTTTTGACATAAGGTTTCGTTTTACTAACTAATATAAACTAGCATACAAGAAATATATTAATTAATTTAAGCCCTAGCATTTTCATTGTACAGTGTTATGAAATTAAATATAAATCAATAGGATCACGGACAACTCTATACGTTCAGTTCAAGGGTGGGTAAATATGGAAATTGTTTGTTTACCATACTAAGTGGTACGTGTTTCCGTGGGATAAAGCTTAATGTCTATTTACCTGGTTGTTGAACATGCAAAACGTCATTAAGAACAACACAGCATATAAGCTATTTTTACTTTCTCCTTATACATAGTATATAGAGAAGGTATTATTTTTGTAAAGATTTTCGAGTTTGGGTATTGAGTGGATATATCTGTTTTGGGTCCCCATGGACACAAAATAGTCGTTTTTTAAATAATGTCTGTGTCTGTGCATGTGTGGATGTGTACTAGACTACACCTGTGGTCCAATTTTGATGAAATTTGGTATTTAGGTACTAATCCATGGTATATCTAGGCACTATTTTTTTATTTTTTTGATGTTTTTATTTTTAATTGCGATTTTTTCATAAAAACCCATAGCAGAAGAATTGAATTTTATCGAAAATGACCCAAACAATATTCGTGAGAATTTAGTATGCTGTAGCCCTTCCAATTCTAAACAAAATGGTATAACTCTAAAAGAAGTTCAAGAGTCAATGTAGCTTTTCTGATTTTACCTATAAAATATCATATTTAGTTACTCTTATCACTTAAGATTGATGACAAGATAATGGAAGAAAGTATGTGTCAGATTTCTGATACCATTTATATTATACATTATGTTCAAAGTTACTTATTAGTGTATACATTTTAGGATGTGTGCACGTGTACGATTCATGGCAACAGTTCATTCGCTTGTCAGCTTAGGCCTTTGCCTAACTTCAAAATCAGGTAAATGATGTTCGCTTTACTTTTAACCACATTTTTGTACTTTTTGTCTATTTATATACATAACTTATTGCATTATGATTTAAACAAATAAAGATTTATGTTAATACATATTCAACGATAGTTACTAATAAAGGCTATAACTAAAGACAACACTATTTAGTTGTGTATTTACAAATATTTACTTTAAAAGAAACTGACTTATCAATCAACTGCCAACAACTTTGCTTGATACAGCATTAATTTATTTTTAAATTTAAAACGGAAATACTTTTTTTATTTCACCATCCCATAAACACCATCAATATTGAACTGAAGGATTTTAGTATTTATATAAACCCTAAAATAGTTCAGTATTTACTTTTTTTTATTTTTTGCCTCTTTTTTGTTCACATAGTTTTAATAGAAAACACATTATGTATTGCTTTTATGTATAATATATTTGTAAAATGTTTTGCTTTGGATATGTAATAATTATAGTTATCCAACACCAATAGGGTATTTCGGTGGTATAAGCTATATTGATATTATAATAAAACTCATTTCATTAGCACACCACAAAAAATGGCAAGGTTTTGGAGCGCTTTTCCTTAAAAGCGTTTGAATTTACTTCATTATAAAAATGCCACTGACGTAGACACGAGCATAAAAGAGAGAAAACTCTTAACGTTCTTGACAAGTTACTAAATGTTTATAAAACGTTATTTAATCTAGAAACCTAAAAAGTCCAGTAAAGGTCATTGCACTACTGAGAGGCAACTTAGTCTTCTAAGAAATACAAATAAGGTAACTTTAAGCTTTATAATAATAAGTTGAACTGTATTAATTTTCTTTGTTGTATCGATCGTATTACCTTTTGCATTATCCCTACATTATATTTAAGTTATTTGATTTATTTTTACAGGAGGAGGTCCCAAATCTTTTCCCAAGGAGGAACCGTTCAACTTAACTTCTCTATTCACCGACAATGAGGACAGATCCTTGCAAGACCTTTCTGGTTTCTGGAGCTACAATGATTCCTCGGATATTTCCAAGTATGAGGACTTCGATCACTCCAAGCTTCTTGGTAGGCGATCCATGTTTATTTGACCTTATTTATCCATAATAAAGCCGATACTTGACCTATTTTTTGCCACAAGAATGTATGTGTTAGATGTGTACACACGATTTAATCATCACAGTATGAAGATGCGTTATTTCTTGACATTATGATGATCGTTTGGATCCTTATAACAGCAAAACAATTCATCATCTATGAAACTTGCTATGTTAATTGTATATGAAACATACCTTTCTTTTTCTCTTTTTTTCTCTATTTGTACAACTCTAGCCCAACGTATTTAGTATAAGGAGCAGTTTTATAGGTTATGATAATAACAGATAGTATATTTTATCACTAAGGCGTAAAGTGACCCTTTCTGTTCACTGTTTGTCGGTGTGGGGACTTGTAGTTTTCGAAATTTCTAACATTATTTTGAAACTAAGCTGGAAACTTTATAAAAATTTCATGAAAATATAACCTTTCAAAACACAATTTAACTTGTTTTTAATTTTTCTAATGCAAATAAGCAGTTGTTTAGTAATGAGAGATTCAATAATTTCGTTTATCTAGATTGGGTTAGTGTGCATTAAAAAACTGCAGTATGGCGGAAAAAATACTTGTATACTAATTTTAAGAGCTTAGCCATGCCAAAAAGGGGTTTCGAGCAGACCACGAATTAAAAGATTTTAAAATACATAAAAATATTAATATTTTAAAGCTTCAATAATAGTGAAACAGTTATTTGTATGTGTGATGATTTTGTGTGTCTAATTTATTCCAAAAGTTTGCTGAAGAAATCCACCTTTTTAAATTGGAAAATACTCACCAATCTTCGGTTTTCTTTTCAATGATTTATCTTTAATAGCTGTTATACTCTTTTTGGTATCTATTTGTGTGAGAAAAATTCAAGCGACGCTTGGTTTTTAGAAAGGAAAATGTGTTTTTATACATCTATATATCATGACATTGTTTTCCTTGAATCTGCCACTACATTCTGTCACTGTTGCAGTTCCAAGTTATTATTACATTATATGGGGTTCACATAACTTGACACATGTTTTTTATCTTGAATCCGGGTAAACCTTGTATTTTAATTGTATACAATGAGTTAAGTTAACATTATTCTGTCTAAGTAAACCTAACGTCGTTTGTAGGGCGACCGGTTTCGACATATATGGCGTCATTGCCAAAACGGAAGTAAAACCAATCCTGGGAGACGAGAAAGTCTAAAAAACACCTATCATATACACGAGCACAAAAAACTTCAAAATGCATGAACATTGGCCATACAACTCATTACAACACGGCGGCGGGTACAGCGTGCAGGTCTAGGATCTGTTTAACAACATTTCACAAAAAAGTATCTATTTAAGTTTGCTAACCAATAAAGAATAAATAATATAGCATAATAAATTATGTCAATGATTCATATTTATAAAATAAATAAGTTAAGTTAGAATTGTATACTTGGAATACAATAACATTAAGTAAAAATAAAATGCATATTAGACATTAAATATTAACACTATTCTAGAAATCCATATTTTCTCGCTTAAAACCTTGTCAGAATTTACGAAAATATTAGTGCAAAATTTCTGTTACGTTGAATACAAAATACACACTACGCCGTCTAGTTCTGTAAAAAGTCAAATAACAGTGTGACAATGCCAACGGCAACGTTTAAGTATGCTCTCTGCAGTTAAGGGTGTCCTCTAACATCCAACCACTGTAATGCCCTCCAGCTATGTTTTAATCAGCATTGTTTGTCCAAAGGGCTTCAGAATTGTTGAAAAGGTAAAAACTCTGCCAATATCATATTCGTGGTCAAGTCCGTTGTACACTTTACCTACACAAAAAATGGGGAAAATCTTTAATATTGCATATTTGGGTCAATTAACTTTTATAAATGGGCCAGCCAAGTTTTATAATTGAAATAATGTTGTAAATTACAGTGTATTATAGATGTATTAATATCTATCATGATCAATTGCTCTCATATTCTTGCTGCTTTGAACTTGATTTAAATTGACGTCGTGAAGAGGGCTGGCTAGTGTTGGAGCTTAGCCCCCCAGAGCCTGAGGTCCTGGGTTCAAATCCCGCCAATCACTGGTGGATTTTGTCTTTGCGATATCGCAGCTGCCCTCTAGGACTAGCCTGAATTAATGTTTAAGACGGTTCCCAGTTGAAACCTAGGATCTGAAGGTGTAACATGGACAAATTCAAACCGATGTGAGAAAAGAATTCAGTTACTAAATACTAGCATACAAGTATGGCAATTACGACGTCTTTACATTATTAGCACGTTATACAAAATATACTTTTTTAACGTTGTTTTTGTATGCCTAAGTAAGTGAAGTAAGACAGATGATGAAAAATAATACATTTTGTTTAGCCTAAAAAATACATGGATGTATGTTTTATAAGACTTGTAATAATATATTTATAAACTTACTCTGTTTATTCAGGTAATTTAATATCATGTAAGATGCAGATAAAGAAGTTATTATATTGAACTAGTGTACAACAATGAGGATTTACCTTATTTATCATCTTAATGTGTAGTCAAGCCATCAGCTCTAAACAAATAAATGGCTTAAATGTATACTTGATTTTACAAATTAATATCGCCCTTCTATTTTATTGTTTTTAGATACCATATCATCGTATTTTCAAAGTTCACCAGATTCCCTATGAACTCCCAGTGTTTGTTTGACACATCCTGTTAAACCAAGTACCAAAACTAACTAGATATATTTAAACTTATATTTAAACTCTTGTAAAGATTAGATAATCCCAAGTTGAAGCTGGCCATAGAGCTTCCTGAGGATTATGAGAGATTGGAATTCCAGAGTTCTCCAGCTTTCTACGAAGTCCCAGTGTTTGACACATCCTGTCAAACCAAGTACCAAAACTAACTAATTCTTACTCTTGTAACATTTAGATAATCCGAAGTTGAAGCTGGCTATAGAGCTCCCTGAGGATTACGAGAGATTGGAGTTCCAGAGTTCTCCAGCTCCCTACGAAGTCCCAGTGTTTGACACATCCTGTCAAACCAAGTACAAAAACTAACTAATTCTTTCTCTTGTAACGTTTAGATAATCCCAAGTTGAAGATGGCCATAGAGCTTCCTGAGGATTATGAGAGATTAGAGTTCCAGAGTTCTCCAGCTCCCTACGAAGTGACAGTGTTTGACACATCCTGTCAAACCAAGTACCAAAACTAACTAATTCTTACTCTTGTAACATTTAGATAATCCGAAGTTGAAGCTGGCTATAGAGCTCCCTGAGGATTACGAGAGATTGGAGTTCCAGAGTTCTCCAGCTCCCTACGAAGTCCCAGTGTTTGACACATCCTGTCAAACCAAGTACCAAAACTAACTAATTCTTACTTTTGTAACATTTAGATAATCCGAAGTTGAAGCTGGCCATAGAGCTTCCTGAGGATTATGAGAGATTGGAATTCCAGAGTTCTTCAGCTTTCTACGAAGTCCCAGTGTTTGACACATCCTGTCAAACCAAGTACCAAAACTAACTAATTCTTACTCTTGTAACATTTAGATAATCCCAAGTTGAAGCTGGCCATAGAGCTTCCTGAGGATTACGAGAGATTGGAGTTCCAGAGTTCTCCAGCTTCCTACGAAGTCCCAGTGTTTGACACATCCTGTCAAACCAAGTACCAAAACTAACTAATTCTTACTCTTGTAACATTTAGATAATCCCAAGTTGAAGCTGGCCATAGAGCTTCCTGAGGATTACGAGAGATTGGAGTTTCAGAGTTCTCCAGCTTCCTACGAAGTCCCAGTGTTTGACACATCCTGTCAAACCAAGTACAAAAACTAACTAATTCTTTCTCTTGTAACGTTTAGATAATCCCAAGTTGAAGCTGGCCATAGAGCTTCCTGAGGATTATGAGAGATTAGAGTTCCAGAGTTCTCCAGCTCCCTAGGAAGTGCCAGTGTTTGACACATCCTGTCAAACCAAGTACAAAAACTAACTAATTCTTTCTCTTGTAACGTTTAGATAATCCCAAGTTGAAGCTGGCCATAGAGCTTCCTGAGGATTATGAGAGATTAGAGTTCCAGAGTTCTCCAGCTCCCTACGAAGTGACAGTGTTTGACACATCCTGTCAAACCAAGTACAAAAACTAACTAATTCTTACTCTTGTAACATTTAGATAATCCCAAGTTGAAGCTGGCCATAGAGCTTCCTGAGGATTACGAGAGATTGGAGTTCCAGAGTTCTCCAGCTCCCTACGAAGTGCCAGTGTTTGACACATCCTGTCAAACCAAGTACCAAAACTAACTAATTCTTACTCTTGTAACATTTAGATAATCCCAAGTTGAAGCTGGCCATAGAGCTTCCTGAGGATTACGAGAGATTGGAGTTCCAGAGTTCTCCAGCTTCTTACGAAGTCCCAGTGTTTGACACATCCTGTCAAACCAAGTACAAAAACTAACTAATTCTTTCTCTTGTAACGTTTAGATAATCCCAAGTTGAAGCTGGCCATAGAGCTTCCTGAGGATTATGAGAGATTAGAGTTCCAGAGTTCTCCAGCTCCCTACGAAGTGCCAGTGTTTGACACATCCTGTCAAACCAAGTACAAAAACTAACTAATTCTTTTTCTTGTAACGTTTAGATAATCCCAAGTTGAAGCTGGCCATAGAGCTTCCTGAGGATTATGAGAGATTAGAGTTCCAGAGTTCTCCAGCTCCCTACGAAGTGCCAGTGTTTGACACGTCCCTGACAACTAATCTCTCAGTACAATTGGGAGGAACAGCAACCTTCTACTGCAGAGTCAGAAACACACGAGAAGACAGGGTGAGGCTTGATCTATCTTTAAAAACTACGAATCATAATTTATTTAATGATCCTTTAATTAAGATAAAAAAACATGCTGTATTTTACTTTAACTAAAGGACATTCAAAAGTCACAATGGCTGTTCAGCTATTATAACTAGAGGTGCGGTAAATATGCTGTAAGACAAGTTTTAAAAACCTGCCATCGAATCAACTACAAGCTGCAGTTTTACCACAGACTTTGTTCAAAAAAACCATCTTCGATCTAAGACTTACCTAGCACTATAGATGTATGATAACAAATTCATAACTACAAAGCTCATAGTACAAATCAAAGTCAAACCCATTGATGTTTCACTATTCATAATATAATCATCAGTGAAATGTTGCGGTGTCCAACAATATTACTTTTTTAAATCATAAAGATTAATGTTATTCCCTTGGGTTACAGGTGTCATGGGTTCGAAGAAGAGACTGGCACATCCTAAGTTCAGGGACGATGACCTACACCAATGATGAGAGGTTCCAAGTCGTACATGTAGACAGTACAGACGACTGGGACCTACAGATCAAATATGTGCAGAGAAGAGATAATGGCACATACGAATGCCAGGTAAAGATAACATTGAGTGCACTTAAATTGGGTTGGATTACATGGTATGTAACTTACAGTAGTTTGCACTAACCAAAAGTTGTCAATGGCGTTGACTTCCCTAATTACGCCACACCAAGTTAAACTCATTATAGTCACTTAGCGAAAACTGCTTGAGAATATCAAGCATAGAATGCAGTAATTTTCTGTAAGGGTGAATAATAATTTCTAATATATCAAAGGACGTTTTTAATTTAAAATATAACTATAGTTTTATGGTGCCAACGTTTTATTAAAATTAAGCTTTTAACGTATTACGTTTTGTTTAATAAAATAAAGAATTTCTTTAGAAATGAACTATAAGTCATGGAATTTCACTACCTGTTGGTTTTAAGGGTTTCATAAAGATTTTAGGCTATACGTTCTGAGGAGTAAACCTTAATAAAACCACTGTATATACATTTCAAACCAAATTAAAAACATATTTTACTTACACTTTAATTTGCATTAGAAGATTATTATTTGAAACACTATTTAGTATCCTTACTTGTACAAGGAATTTGATTCAGGAACGTCATTTAAACATTTAGTATATATGATAACTTACATAATATGTTATACTAGCAAGTGACAACAACTTCTAAAACATTGAAAGTATCTAATCAACTCAATGTTGTCCATGTTGAAAATGTAATCGTAAACTCAATGACCTGGAAAACATTTTAAATAATAAACAATCATCCGTGATCAATGAATATTTACGGTAAACGCATGTTGATTTAATGATTAAATACACCTATTAAACACCTATTAAATGCTAGTAAACGAGGAACTGAAAATCATTATCGAATACATAGTTTAACTAATGCTCTGTTCCATCTTATTGTTGTCATTCTTTCTAATTAACAATATTGAAACTCAAATAATCAGCTTGTTTCCAATTAAATCGGTGTGTCAAATAATAGGGGAATATAGAACTTCCCATTTGAAATATGATTACAGAGGAATCCTTAAAGTCTGATTTGTTAATTAACGAAAGCAAAATGGAAGCGCATCTGGAGCTTGGGTATTTCGTGTGCAAAACTTTATCTCAAAGTTCTCAGCAAGTAACTCGGTAATTACTTTATTGTCTGCAAAACAAAGAGACAAAAGCATAATACTGTTTAAAAGGAATCTCCCTTATTGGGTGAAGTGTGTTCAAGTAATGATGTACGATCATTGTTATTTGTCCTTTCATAAAGCTTAAAATATGCCAAATTATCGTAATTGATAGGGTTATTATATCTGGGACGTTTTGGAATTCAAAGAAATATGTGGAAAAAGCTTTCCTGCTTCATTAACGAGGTATTAGTATTTCAACTTTCTATGCCTTGTAAAGCTTGCACAATTTTGGTTTTCCTGAAAATTAAATATCCCTCTGACGTTGACAACCAATCAATCGGTTACCAAAAGGAATGAAGAAAAACAATATTTGGTTCTCCTTAAGTATGTATTTCATACTTTAAAACATACCTTCCCACCAGAAAGCACGAAACAATAAAATTTTTCTAGGGACGTTTTCGTAGTTAGATAATATCATATTCTTCAAATTATTATAAAGTTACTTAGCTGGAAACCCCATCATGTATAATGTACAAAATCTGTACAAGGACAAACCTGCCGTGGTAAGCAAAAAGGCCGTATCAACATAAATGACGAATCTGAGAAAATGGATGTTTTGTCAAAGCCAGTCAGAGTCATGTTTTTTCGATTTCTAATTTAAACGGTTGACCGAATTCAATAATTTTTTTTTTCAAACTACTTCTTTTTCAATGCAGGAGACTATGAATATATTTTTATTAATGTATAATGATACATTCATATTTTTTAATCCAGTTACCCTTTTTACTGTTAAGGTTTATTAGGCCAAAAAGCCGTATCTCAAGTTACCTTTTTTTGGCTTAGGAAAATGTCTTTTTAAGAAACAAAATTTTCCCATGCCCAAAGGAGGTAGGTTGTGATACGGCTTTTTAGACTAGTAAACATTAACAGTAAAAAGGGGTCAATCACCAATAAAAGGTACTTAGAATTAAACTAGATATATGAAACTTGGAAAGAAGGTATATCTACATTTATTCTACACGTAAGTTATGTAATATTTGGTAACGATTAACAAATATTTACGTATTTTATAAACAGAAAACTGCCGTAGAAAGCTTATTTCATTTTGTTGACCCAGGTCAATCACCAATAAAAGGTACCGGTACTTAGAATTAAACTATATACATGAAACTTGGAACGAAGGTATATCCACATGTATTCTACACGTATGTTAAATTTGGTAACGATAAATAAATATTTATCTATTTTATTACCTAAAAACCGGCCAAAATAGCTCATTTTATTTTGTTGACCCGGGTCAATCGCCAATAAAAGGTACTTAGAATTAAACTATATACATGAAACTTGGAAAGAAGGTATGTCCACATGTATTCTACACGTATGTTAAATTTGGTAACGATTAAAAAATATTTATCAGTTATACCTTCGTTCCAAGTTTCATGTAAATAGTTTAATTCTAAGTACCTTTTTTAGGCGATTGACCCGGGTCAACAAAATAAAATGAGCTATTTTGGCTGGTTTTTAGTTAATAAAATAGATTAATATTTTTTAATCGTTACCAAATTTAACATACGTGTAGAATACATGTGGATATACCTTCGTTCCAAGTTTCATATATATAGTTTAATTCTAAGTACCGGTAACTTTTATTGGTGATTGACCTGGGTCAACAAAATGAAATAAGCTTTTTACAGCAGTTTTTTGTTAATAAAATAGGTAAATATTTTTTAATCGTTACCAAATTGAACATACGTGTAGAATACATGTAGATATACATTCGTCCCAAGTTTCATGTATATAGTTTAATTCTAAGTACCTTTTATTGGTGATTGACCTGGGTAAACAAAATGAAATAAGTCTTTTACGGGAGTTTTTTGTTAATAAAATAGATAAATATTTTTTAATCGTTACCAAATTTAACATACGTTTAGAATACATGTGGATATACATTCGTTCCAAGTTTCATATATATAGTTTAATTCTAAGTACCTTTTATTGGTGATTGACCCGGGTCAACAAAATGAAATTAGCTTTTTACAGCAGTTTTTTGTTAATAAAATAGGTAAATATTTTTTAATCGTTACCAAATTTAACATACGTGTAGAATACATGTGGATATACCTTCGTTCCAAGTTTCATGTAAATTTCTACATTCAAAGTGGTTTTTTTCTAAATATATTGAATTTGTTGACCCGGGTCAACAAAATAGGGAGTCCCGGCTAGCCTATAGTGATACTTTCCCTCCAAGTTGTTTTTTTGTAAAATTCATTTACCACCTAACAACTAGATATTCATGTGATGCATAGAGTATGTAAAACAGAAATTATAGGAAGGTCTTCAAAATTTAATGTGTTGCTTTCCTATGCATTTTAATGGTAAAATTTTGAACCGTAATTGGATTTGGGCGAGACTATACTAAGCCAAAAAACAGTAAGGCAGAAATACTATTCCAGAAAGCCGTAACTGTTTTTTGCTTACTGTTTTTTGGCCAAGTAAACCAAAGTTACGGTGTTTTGACTTAGTATTTGCACATTTGTTGGTAGATACGGTAAATAACTAGTTTGATATCTCAAAAACGGCTTGAGATACGGTGTTTTCGCCTACATTTTTGGATATTCATATTCATATTCATTCATATTCATTAGCCTTCGTCGTTGACCCTCTGGTGAGGGAATAGACTGCGTCGTTGTTTAATACAGAAAAAAAGACACAAAAACTAAGACTACACGCACATATAAAATAAAACTGTGTATTAAACATGGCGGGCAGGCAGTAGGCGGTACAAAAAATTAATTGTCCCGCTCCAAATTGTCCGTAAAGAAGTCCTCTACTTTGTAGTATGGTCTATTGATCATCAAGTCTTTCACAGCACTCTTGAACTTCCGGTCGTCCAGACATCGAATGCTGGAAGGGAGTCTGTTGAAGAACTTGATGGCTGATGTAGGGAAGGAATTGAGCGTCCTGCTCAATCTCGCACGGGGAACATCGAGATCCTGCCTAGCTCTGGTATTATGGGCGTGGATGTGGCTTCTGGTGTTGAGAAGAGGAACACTGCATTTTATTTCAACCAGGCAGGCGTAGATGTAGTGGCTGCAGACGGTTAGAATTCCAAGTCTCTTGAATATCGGTTTGCAGTGTTCTCTAAAAGGGCTCCTTGAGATTATACGGACTGCCGCTTTTTGAAGCTTTAAGACTTCCTCCACTTCCGACGCATGACCCCAAAGGTGTAGTCCATACGCAATGTGCGAATGAAACAGGGCATGGTATACCATGAGCAGGTACTGCTCCGTGACACATTTCCGGAGGCGCCTGAGGAGGCAGTTGACTCTCGCAAGCCGTGTGGCAACATGGGCAGCATGGTCATTCCAGTCGAGTCGGCTGTCCAGCTGGAAACCGAGAAGTTTAACTGCAGCCATGTCGTCCGAGGAGTCTCTTGAGAGGGTACAAAGGAGTCTCTGGGTTTTGTCTCCATTCAGTTGCAGCTTATTCATCTGGAACCATGCTTTTGCTTCTTGGACCTGGATTATGGCTAAATCCCTAGTGTGGTGTAGGTTTGGCCCTTTAGTGAGAAGCGTGGTATCATCCGCAAATAGTATAGAGCTGCTGGTCTCGTCGATGTCATTGATGAGGACCAGGAATAGAAGAGGGCCCAGCACAGATCCTTGGGGAACCCCCTGGTTCACCTCCAGTTCTAGAGAGCTTGCGCCTTCGAGTATCACCCTCTGGGTTCTGTTGGCTAAGTAGTTCTTGAAGGTGGAGAGAACCACACTACCAACGCCATATCTGCTGAGTTTTTTGAGCAGGATATCATGGGATACACAGTCAAAGGCTCTGCTGAGGTCACAGAGTGTTAACATTACCGACTCCCCAGCTTCAAAGGCCTCGCCAACTTCTCTTGCAATCTTGGCAATCGCAGACGAAGTAGATTTCCCTGCGCGGAAACCGTGCTGTGAGTCTGAAAACAGCTGGTGTGTTTCAAAGTATGTATACAACTGATTCTTCATCACCGTCTCTATCACAATCACAGGTAGTATCGAGATAGGTCTGTAGCTCGAGATACTGGCATGATCACCTTTTTCCTCGACCTTCAAAACATAAAGATTTGCACTTACCTCAAAATGTGATATTTTTGTAGTTACTGCCTTTTAGCTTACGAGGGCAGAAACGATAAATAAAAATAAAAAAAAGAAACAACATTACATTTAAAAATTAGCCAGTAGTAAACAAATATTGCTAGTCACACTGATGCCATGGGACAGACTCGCATACATTACATTGTATTTATTACAAGACAAAGTTCGAAGGTTTGTTTTGGTTTATAATATAGTTTTTTTATGTCCTAGGATGATAGGCACGAGCCTTGGATTGTTTTTCACATTACTTCAGGCTAGACCTAGGGGTTACGGCATTATCACATAGATAAAATCCATTGGTGACGTGGCGGGGATCGAACCCGGGACCTCAGGGACTGAAGTCCCGCGCTATAACCACTACGCCAGCTCACTCCCCTTTTTATGATTTATAATATAGTTACAGCATCCGGGTTATAGAATAATTTGGATCATGATGCATTTATATTGACAACATACTACCCACAGTCAGTTTCTGTTTGTAGGCGAGTGGATTATCTATGCACTATGGTAAACTACATACTGTTTACACTTTGTGGTAGATGTGGCAGGTGAAACACGTGCACTTAAAATCCATCCCGAGGCCGTGCCACACCAAGCTGCAAAGTCAAAAATCACTTACCATGTTAACAAAGAGAAAAGTCCTATAGCACGTCTTCCATACCTGGTGGGCGATTTTATTAGACTACCTTGGCAGTAGTTTTGTCTAGAAAATGCGCAGAGGTGCGAGTGAAACATTAATTCACATTATTAGTAATCAAAATAATTTCAAATACTGATATACATGTTCTCCCCTCCATATCTCTATAAGTTTGATTTATTTCATCATATAGGGTTACCCTAATCGTTTCTTTATGTCACAGGTTGGGACCAAGTTTGGAATACTCTCACACTACTACAACCTCCATGTAATCGTCCCTACAGCATTCATCCTGGGCAGCGGAGAATATCATATTGGGGAGGGCAGCACTATCAGCCTCGTCTGTATCATAGAGAATGTAAGTTAATGACAAAAATTAAACTGTAGTACACTACTAGCTGCCATTTCTGGATAAAAAAAAAATCTCTATCTTGACAGTAAAGTAAATTGTATATAGATTAAATAATTATAATTCGTTTTTGGTACTTTGATTGGATGTCTAAACATGAGGACTTTTTATGTAACTAATAGATAATTTTATATTCCTCCAATATGAAAATATATAAGAGGTGTTTTAACTGAGCCCGAATCTCTTCTCTCAAAACAGTAGTTGAGACATTAATGATTTTTGGCACCTCGAAGTGTAAATGTGTAACCACGACTCTAAAAAGAAATACTCCACGCTTACATCTCACAAAAGGTACCATGAAACAATCTTCAATCACAGAAAGAAATGCAGGGTTTGAGACTCATATACGATCACCGTAAGATACTTTGAAACCCTTACGAGGGAAGGGAACAGGCAGACCTAACATTAGGACTTTATGCCTGAGCTACATGGGATATTTGTAAAACCCATATTTTATTTCGGATAAATTAACGTAGGTAGCAATTATCATTATCTCGTATATTCGACGAATCTCCTCCACAAAGCCCACTACGGTGGCAGAACCAGCCGTAGAGATAAGGAGTTTAGGGGCTTTTTCACACTCGTAGAAGTTACAAAGATATTTCCTAAGGTATCCCGGGAGAAAGCCAATTCTTTTATAGCCACGATTCATCCACCAGTCAGATGACGAATAAGACTAGTGGCCCAACGTCTTTTGATATTGCGTTCAAAGCTCTATTCCAGTGAATCTCGTTTTTATTATAAAATGATGTTCTCAAAAAAGTTTTCTTCTTTAACTTTGACGCCCACAAGCTAATGAGGCCGGCTATGAGGACTCTTACTATGTCAATGAAAGTCGCTTCAAAACAGTTCGACTCACACAACACTTGTGATTGACATATATTAAAATCTATACTGACTTATACATACTATCTTACTCTACTTCTATGCCATATCCTCCATCCTCTAAACTTATATTATCTATGTGTGACTATGTTGTACATGTTACAGAGCCCAACTCCACCACAGTATGTTTTCTGGTACCACAACGACAAGATGGTCAACTACGACTCAGTTAGAGGCGGAGTCACTGTAGACACAGAGCCAGGACCCAAGACACACAGCAGACTCATAGTCAACAAGGCTACCCCAGCGGACACTGGCAACTACACCTGCAGAGCTCCAAACACAGATCCTGACACCATCTACGTGTTCGTCAGTAAAGGTATTGTTTATAATTTGTTACACATTTAAATCCTAGGATGGTAGGTTCCAGCTAGGAAGCATGCTCACATGAAGTAATATGAGCACGACCGGGACAGTTTGTGCCTTTATCACATGGAAAATATCACTTGGTGATTGGTGGGATCCGAACTCGATACTACAGTGACTGCAACCCTGCGTTCTACTATTGGACAAAATCTTCTCCCAATAATATTCGTTGTGAAAAAATAATTTCTTAGGCTCTCAGAAGACGAATTTGATTTATATTCGTAAAGGATTTGAATAAATTGATGAAGATGATTACACCTAAAACCAAAGCTAAGCTAAAGGATATTTCAATTTCCATGTGTTACATATAAATTAAAATAATAAAATATTGTATTTAAAAATTAAAAATAAATTGCCTGATTTACAAAGGTTAAGTGATACCAAATACCTAATTGCGTTTTATTTGGTTGTGTAATTCATTTTAATTTTAAATACCTCATTGTATAAAAATATATTTTTTTAATATTAAACTTGAATTAAAAAATAATGTGGCCGGTGAATTGTCTCTGTCATTCATTTAAAGTCTATTTGATCATTTTTTGCAGTTTGTATACAAATTAGATAATGTATTAAACACTGTTGCAATTTAAAATATAAATATACAATATTTATGTAAAATGATGCCAAATAATTTGTTTTCAGGAAAAGGTTTAAAAATATTTAATTAAGTTAATTGTGTAAATATTATTACAAAAATTTGAAAACTTAATTTATTCCAATCTTAAGCTTATGAGAAATGTCTTAGAGGTAAGAAAAATGCCAAAATACATTTTCCTTGTACTGAAACACTGTGTTATGGCGTTTTAAAACTAAGAGATATAAGGAATTTGTAAGATTAAATGCCTCATTATGGTATCGTACAGTTCTAAAAAAAACAACATATCTAAAAAAACCTACATTAAAGTTTATTCGCAGTAAGACCTTCATATTAAAATAATAAATTATATTAATAAAAATATGCTCTGTTAAATTTCATTATTGTTGTTAACGTTATAGAATCTGTATTTAAGATTACGAAACTCTTTTTAGCGAATTTCTCCTATAGGGAATAAGCTATTACCGTAGTACTCATGGTAAGACCTGGACCCGGGACCGATTTTTTTTCGTCTTGAGGTCCCTAGAGGCCAAAAATAGCATCCGTTCAAATTCATGTATATATACATATTTATATATATATATGTGTCCGTTAGCGCGATAACTCGAGCAAAAATGATCCGATTTTGATGAAATTTGGTACAAACGTGTAAACCTACGTTTATTCTAACGAGTTCGCCAACCATCATGATCGGACCATGGAAACGGGGGTTTATGAGGGCTTTTATGGGGTAAAAATGGGTTTTCCCATTTTTGACCCAAAAAACTTAATTTTTTGCAATTTCTTTCCAAACTGTTTTGTAGAGCTTAAAAAAACAAATAATTTAGTATATTGAAGCGTTATAATGCGCCTAATGGTTACGGAGAAAATTCAAAAAAATTGTAAATTTAAAATTCCTATGTTATTCTTATGGAGGATAAGTAAACTGTTGTAGTTTGCTTATTTATTAACATTTTTTGCCCAAATTTTGAAAATGTTTTTATTTCCTACTAACATTATTATCATTCTTATTAACATTATAATATAAGAATTTTAATTTTAATATAGGAATAAATGTGATATTTTTAAGGAGACATTTTAGTGTAAATCCAATCAGGCAAATGGAAATTCGCTTAGTCTGCAGGTTTGCTGCGGCGGGGGTATTTTAAGTTTATGTTGAATGATTTTGACTTTGTATTTCTTACAGAAGGTGAGAACACTGCTGCAATTTCGCGGCCTGACAGTGCAAGTAACTTTAGACCACTGCGAAGATCGTCCCTCGCTTTCTTTTCAATCTTCTTCATTTTGTTTACCAATTTGTATAACTTAATATAAACACTTTTCTACGGACCCACTTTAAATAAAATATTTTATTATAATTGTCTATTTTTTACCATATATCAATGATATAACTCGTAGAAAGTTAATAATATCAGTGTGTTAATCTAAAAAAAAAACTGATAAAGTACAAGTACAACTGATTATAAATATTAGATTGCTCGTCGTATTTTAATTACCTTAAAAAAATTAAGTTAATTCAACACATATTTATAAATAGTAGTACCATATAATATAATGTCCTACATATTATATGCTTTACCATTAGCACATCAAATTTCAAATAAGTAATGAATTTATTAACGTTTAGAGTAAAAGAAAAAGACTATCCAGCCGGATGAATATTTTTATTACTGTGGGAGAAATTGTAACCTACACAAATGTAGTTATGTTTTACCTTCCAGCCTGAGGTAAAGAAAAATGTAAATTTGAAAATGTTCTTCTTATTTCCTTAACAGAACATAAATAATAAAGTAACTAATGGTTTGTTACAGGATTCATTTTGACATTTTTACATTCCAGGTAAATTGTAAAGTGTCCATAAAATTCTAAATGAATTATAATAATTCCTAAACCAATGTTGTTGGCTATTACAAGTACCGGATTGCAAACAATGGTATGTTTTTATGTTATTTTTTATGTTCGTATTTTTATGTTATAAAAAAAGACGAAAAACATTCTATTATACTCTATTAATAACAAAACGACTTTGTTGTCATCAATTTCAACAGGATATCAACATCATTTTGCGAAACGTTTCTTATATTCCGGAATTCTCGTGATATAAACTAGGATTAAAGAAAGCTACGGCACTTTATTGAAATCCTAAAACAATTATAATATATTCAAAAACGCGGTAAAAAAAACAAAATACAAAAAAAAATGAAACGCAGTTGGTTACAAAGGAAAACCGGAATTTTCGGTCTGAAATTTAATTTACTTTAATTGCCATGTGTAGCCTAGAGTGCTAATTTGTCATTTGTAAATTACACTAACAGACCTGAGTTGGCGAATGGTTTACATTCATAAAATAGCATGATTTTATTTTCAAGAATGTCCGATGCAATCCCAGGGTACAATATAAACAAAAAGGAAATAAAGGCTAACTATTAATTTCATTATCTCGGTTTTTTTAACAAAAAAATAAACAGTGTTTGTAGATCAATACCTCCATTTACACCCGTTTAAAGTATTGAATCTCATAGTTAAGAAAAAACAAGATAATCTGTAAGCCACAGATTTATTAGATGAAGAAATAGTTTTAAATTTGTTAATCAAACTAATAGATAAACAATTGGGTTTGTATAAGGAATAGGTAGCCTATATTCAAAATTAATACAAAAGAATGGAAATACATTTCGGTCGAAATTTGTTTTTCATACAATTAATTGTTTTGCCATAATATATTAATATACCACACCCAAAATTGTTTGGTTTTTGGTATTTTTTCTCCATTGAAAAGGATTATCCAATCTTTAGAGTTACCGGTACATTACTTGTAGAATTTTAATGTTTTTGTGAGAGAAAATAATTGTTTGAATACACAACACGTTTACTCTTCTTTTTTTATTTCAATATGTTTAACAGTACTGTTTTATACCTAGTTTCTTATAAATAACAATATGTTAAGTTAACAACTCTAAGAGTAAAGTATAAAACATACATTCCATTTATTAAACACAGATTATATGGAAATAAGTTAAGATCCCAACAATTCATAAAACAAACTATGTGTAAAGTGTAACACTTACCACATTGTGCCAAGCAGAAGTAGTTAAGAGGGCATAAGTGTAATTAGTTATTGTTAATCTTAGCCTGCAGACCTTCGTGTTCTGAGCTTGCAGGGCATATTTGGCTTTATACACGGTCGTACACTTATGTGGCCCTGGTACATTTTGATAATAACTGTAATTTTAGAGAAACCTTTCATAACAAGAACAGTACTGCACAAAGACACGCTGCGCATACATGTTTTGAGTAATTTTCCTTTAATAATTCTGTTACTCATAAAACTGTGGTAGTTAAGTATCCATCACAACAACAACAAAGAAAAAAAACTTAAGAATTTTCCAAAATAGGAAGAAGTCTTAATATGAATATTTATTCTTCTTGTTCGTGTATTTACGACTTTGAAACGTGTAGTTCATTCGAGGAACAAAGGATTCACTAAGATATACAGGGTATATTGACCTTTTACGTAAAATATTTTGTTTGGCCTAAATGCAAATTATTACTTTTCCAAAATTATTTGTCCATCGTTGTTTTTTGGTATTAGCAGAAAATCTACTGGTACTGTAAAATAAACCGTGGAATTTAGAAATACTGAGAGTAACGTTTTATGTAACATCAAAAGGTGAATATAATTATGTAGCCAAAATGTTCCTAAAAGTATCTTTCAAATATAAAAATAAATTAAGTTTGTAACTTTAACTATTGACTTGTGGACACTGTGGTGGTAGATATTTCATCTTCATAGATCAGGTCCCTATATCAATCCAGTACGAAAATGTGGCAGTTTTTTTTTTATATACGGGCTTTGCATTTAGCATTTTTAGCTGCTCCAAAAATGCCCAATTTTGGGTTTCTATAGGGCATTGTGATACTAACTAAAAAGTACAGATTAATATTTTATGCAGGTGATAATGGATATTTAGGTATATTTTAAAGTGGGGCTGAAATACCGCCAATGCCTAATGGTTTGGGATAAAGGTCTTTAGTTTCCACTGATATTTGTTTACTGCTAGTATTCCAAAAATACCAGGTGTAAATTAGTAAGGCTTTACGTTTTAACTTTTGAGTTGCCTCCAAAATAACCCGTTTTGGGGTTCGAGACAAAATAGTGATACCATCAAAAAGATGTATGCCTGACCTACATTAATTCCATATAGAGGTGTGCAGAATTTGGATTTCCTTGCGTATTCCATAAAAAAATATAATTTTTACATATCAGAAAAAAGGAATAGTGTCAGGAATAGTGATTTACAATTTGCTCATCGTGGATCATGCCATAAGTTAAACTAATATTTATTTCAACATTTCTATTCAATAAAAATATATATTTTTCTTTTTAAATTCATAAAGAAGGTAATTAATCTAGGTACCTTTGTTGCGTTAATTTGTAAGAATTTAAATTGTTTCTTAAACAAGTTGTGCAAAATGGTCTCACATACTTAAAACTATATAAAATACAAAGATATACAGGTAGTTGCGTATTAAAAAAATCACGATGCCTTAAACAAATTAAGTTTAGGTTTTGGGTAAAAAAAAAAAAAATTAAAAGACGATGATCAACTTAAAAACAACCCATCTATATATATTTTTTGTATTATTAATATCACGGTTGGACAAAATCAAGCATTCAAATTAAGGAAAATATGAGAATAAATATATCAGAATAAATAGAGACCGTGGTAGATGACATTCGCTAAGCTTGAGAATAAATCAATATGGTAATGGCATGTTTACCATACTAAGAGGAACGTGTCTCGAGGGTATGATATGAAGCTGATTGGTCTGAATTTAATACTGCACTAATATCAATTTAAGGAAATGCTATATAAAATTTGTCACCTATGTGTATTGTAAATTACATGATAATAATAAATAAAAACTTTATTAAACACATACGCCAAGGTATATACTTTGAGGTACGGAGTAGAAGGATGAGATGGGCAGGATATATCATAAGAAAAGAAGAAAACTGTTTACCATTGAAAGTACTGGAGAACAAACCAGAAGGAAGAATACCCGTTGGTGGACCAAAACTGAGATGATAGGACCGAGTAGAAACGGCCCTAAAAAACTGAGAAGAAAGGAGGAGGACGCAAGATGTAGAGATATATGGAGGTGAGTTGGGGAGGCTAAGTACCCTTTAGGGTACCAGTGGCCATAGCAGTAAGTAAGTATATAAATATAAGAGATTTATGTTTCCTTATAGGATTGGTGAGCTGATAAACTGGTTAGTTACTGGTAAGCTATTGACACATCAAATATGCAATGATAGAATTTCACAAAACATGTTATTTGATCCACATTTTGCGCATACATTTGAAATATTCCGATAGGGATACGATAGGGATATTATGTTGTCGACACGAATTCAATCCAGTATGTGAACATCCAGCATGTGAATCCAGTACTGTTCTATTTCAGTAAAACTATGCGGAGTTGGATATATTATGGTTTTAGTTTTTTGTTTGTTACTCTTTCCAAGATATTGTTACAAAATTGTTGAAGATTTTCAAATTGTTTGACATGAAATTATATAGGCCATTGAAAAAAAGAATTCCCAGACACCGGTACAAGTGGACAGCGACCCACTATTATTGTTTGTCAAAAGTAGTCCGTAATTACTCAATAGTCTTCTGGTTGTGCGTCGATGTTACTTATTGGTAATTCATTCATTGTTTATTATTTTTCAGTCTTTTTTGGGTATAATTTCATCAAGACAAATGTTTTTAATATAACTATATGTACTAAATGAAAAATCCACAATTATGAATATCTTATATACATTCCTATTACAAAAGGTTATCAAGTTATTAATGTAGAGTTCAGAAGAAATATATATTTCACCTATTAAAACGAAAAATAAAAAAGTTCAGTAATATTAGTATACAGTAATAATATTAAACTAAAAAAATCAATAATAAACATTGAACTTACTTTATGCAAAAGAATAAATGTAAGAAAGCCAATAAAATAATATTATTCGATTTCCTATTGTTTTAACTTAAGAACAGCAGCAAGAAGTCTCGAAGCTAGTTAGTTTACGAAATGCTTATACAGCCCTGTTTCCGGAAAAAGACAAATTGCCAGCTTTTCGCCAAATCTTCCTCGGTTACTAGTTTTCATCATCAGCGAAAAAGATAAACATTCTGAGACAGAATTGTTTGCTTATGTTTGACATATTCGTCTTGATTTGAAATCACATCAGCAATCTTAATCCAACGTATTTTAAAACAAATAAAAAAACGTTTAAATTAATGATTAATATAAAGAAA